TGAAGAACCCAACAAGCCCAAGACCCTTAGTGAAGAAATCGACCTGAAGAAAAACCCCCAAAACCCTAAACCCTAAACCCTAATCATATGAAGGATCCCTGTGCAATTTAAGGTCTGCTCCTCAAGTATTTAGAGGGGGGAAAACGGCTTCAGGCATGCCGGGGTTCATGAAGTATGGGGTTAAAGGGCTCCCTGAACCCCAAACATCCCCCAAACCCTGAAAACCCTCCACATCCTGAACCCTAAGGGTTTTTAGGGTTTAGGGTTTAGGGTTTAGAATTTAAGGGTTTAGGGTTTAGGGTTTAGGGTTTAGGGTTTAGGGTTTAGGGTAAGCCCTACACATCCAGAACCCTCAGCCCTTCAGCCTAAGAGAACCTCTGGATCACCTCCACAAAAAGACCAGGCCTGGCAAGCTTCTTCACCGTGGCAGTAGCCTGGGCGGGTGAAACTTCTAGGACTCTCCAGACGTTCCAAGGCTGAAAGAACGTGGTTCTGGGATTGGGTTGCAAGCAAAAACCCTAAATCCTAAACACCCTAAACCCTAAACCCTAGCCCTAAACCCTAAACCCCAAACCAGCGTTGAACCCCCCCGCAGCTTGGAGAACCGATGACACGAAATTCAGAGCAGCGTCTCCAGCAAGACTCCATCGAGGGAGCCACGTTTATGATCGCAGGGCCTCTGCACTCGCTCATACAAATTAGGGTTTAGGGTTTAGGGCTTAGGGCTTAGGGCTTAGGGCTTAGGGCTTAGGGGGGTCACTGCTGACCTGGTATAGCGCCGGCACTGACGCAGTAGACAAAGTCTTCCTCCGTGTACTCGCTCGCCCCACCTGGCCGGAAATATCTGGAGCACTTGGACATGTGTGGAAACACCTCCATTTCATGTTGATTTCACCGTTGACCGCTTGCTTAGGGACTCGCAGTCTCCATCCAAAAAAAGTGCCCGTACAGGGCATTCTTTCCGAGAGGCGCCTCCAGTCCCTGGGTCCTCTGTAGACAGATTGGTAGCGTTCAACTCATACTCTCTCTTCCTCCAGCATCCGTCCGCGACGGTTCGTGAGTGCCCGGGCTCTGCCTGGCGCGCTGCTAGCTATGCTCTCGCTCTCTTCACGCTTGACATGACCGTAGTCTGCAGATTACACAGCCCTATCCCTAAACCCTAAACCCTAAACCCTAAACCTTTCTGGCCTCAAAGACTCTTCCGGAACCCTTCGGAGATGTGTCGACGGCATGGAATCCAGAGGAGTTGTCGCTGGGCCAGCTTCCGTCGTTCATGAAGATGCTGCAGTTGCCATCAGGGGTTATGTGAAATCCTGGGCTCTCAGCATTGTAGAAGGATAGCTCCATGCAAGCATCCAGACAGCAGTGGTACTGCTTGAACGGCAGCAGGGTGAAGCTGTCATACGTCCGGTTCCTTGTTCGGAGAAGTGGAAAAGGGGCGGTTGCTCTCAGTTAGGGCTCCTTCTTGCGGAGTCCTCCTTTCGAGGTCTTAGCTTCAAAAGCTCACGCTTACCCATAAGGCGGACCTTATGCTCACCAAGGTTCAATGCATCCAGGCAGAAGCCATCGCCAACTCGCTCGAAGCTGTCATAGAGAGCGTCTCCAGACAGCGGCGACAAGGTTGCAAGAAGCCCCCAGAGAGTCCCGAATCCCATAGCAGCACATAGGGCCAAGCTCGAGTCGACGGGTCTACTTGTAACATTGTAGCTGTGTGCAGGAACTGAAGAAATCCTACGCTGAACTGATAGGATTCAGGCCCAGCCTGCCGGTGTCAGAGTTTAGGGTTTAGGGCTTAGGGTTTAAAAGTTTAGGGTTTAGGGTGTAGGGTCTAAGGTTAGGGTTAGGTGAAGCAGACAAAGCTCCAACATCTCCAACCGGGCTGACGATGACTTGTCAACCTCGGAGATCCTACGGTACGAGCCAAAGAAGCCTCCGTTGCGGTAGCCTGGCGCTCCACTGGGCAAAGTAGGGCTTAGCGAGCCGGGGTTGAACCCTAAACCCCAAACCCTAGACCCTATAGACCCTAAACCCTAAACCCTAAACCTAGGTCAACCCTGGGCCAGCACTTCCGGCAGCCCGCTTTCTTCTTGGCCTCCCCCAGGATCAAGGCGTGTGAAAACCCCGTATTTACCCCCTGCACCCCCTACATACCCTACAAAACCCAAGGGCCCATACTTCAGAACGTAAGGGGGCCACGTTAAGGGACCATGGAATTCCTCTTCCTCGCATGGGCACCGCCGGCCTTTTCTCCTTGCATGTCGGGCAACGAAGTTCATCCACCTTCATCCCAGACCCCTAAGAATGACCCGCTTTACACCCTAAACCCTAAACCCTAAGCCCTAAACTGGGGGTTTCTACCTTTTTTGAGTCTTCCCAGGGGTCTGCCTGTCCACCTTCAGGTGGGGTAGATGGTGGTGTGTCGGTAATGAAGTTTGCTGAGCCCTGGCCCTCTGTACGTCAACTCTGGACCACAAAACCTACGTACCCTAAGCAGCCTAATACTCCAGGTACCCCAAATACCCAAAATACCAAAAAACAAGGCCCCGAAAACCCAAAACACCCCGAAACCACCTGAGCCTTATACACCCCTGAGACCGGAAATCCGACACCGAAACCGCTTCTGGGCGCAGGGGCTCAGCATCCCCCGGGGAGAAGATTCATGTACAGGTTTAGGGGTTTGGGGGCTTGGGGCGTAGAGCTCAGGGTTTTAGGGGTTTAGGGTTTTAGTGTTTCAGTGTTTCAGGGTTAGTGTTTCAGTGTTTAGGGTTTAGGGTTTAGGGTTTAGCGTTTAGGCTTTAGGGTGGAGGTGCATCCTCCGTCTCCGTGCGTGGCTTGATTTCACGAAGCCGGAGCCCAGGAGACGGTGGAGCTGGTTGCCTAGGCATAGTTTCTAGTCGGTGCCCAATGAGGGAAGTCGATACCTCCACACCCTAGACCCTAAACCCTAAACCCTAAACCCTAAACCCTGAACCCTAAACCCTAAACCCTAAACCCTAAACCCTAATCCTAAACCCGAAATATACCCGAAATATACCCGATAGAGCCCTTGTGAAGGGGCTCAATGAGGACCCGACTTCCTTACCAAGCAGAAAGGGGGAGGGAGGGGGGGGGGGGGGGGCTAGAGCTTGGGGCCAGTTAGGGGCTTAGAGGGAAAACGGCCGTACGAGTGCATAAGAGGTTGAGGCTTGGTATGCAGGCTTAGGGTTTAGGGTTTCGGGTTTACAGTGCCTAGGGTTTAGGATTCAGAGAGGGTTCTTGGCCGCAGCCAGTTTTAGCCAAGTCAGTGTACATCCCTCCAAAGGCACCGTAGCGTTCGCCCCCAACTCCGACTGCGCTCGGTGCATCGGGCGCCTCCCTACGCGACCTTCCACCTCCTTCGGAGGCGGAATGAGTCCGCGAGCCAGGGGAGGGCCCATGAATTTCTGGGGGCCCATTAAAGGCTTCGAGGTGCACCAGGTGCTGGTAGTACGCTCATCTGTCTTAGGGGGCCTAAACCCACAAGCCTCAACCAGCTTGGGGCTTTAGTACCCCTCTATTCTCAGACCCTAAACCGTTCAGGGCTACGTCGGGCTCTCTGCCTCAGGGGCCTTCTGCCCTAGACACGGACACTTCCACCAGGTACTCCGGGTAGACCTTCGCCCGCAAAGCAGTTCTGCAAATTGCTCTGAGGTTCAGTCAGTCTGCACTCATCCGCACAGTTTCGCCTGCTGCTCTTCACAATCTAGGTTTGGCCCTTTAGACCCTCGGAAAAGTGGTCCTCTCAACGACCCTCTTACAACCCTAAACCCCACATGCCTACATGGCTGCAAGCAGGCACCTGCATCTCCGTCAAGACAATGAACTCCCTTGGCCCTTCGGCCAGGGGATTGGCCAAGACGGCATGCTTCCCCACCTCACGGTCTGGGGATTGGTGTAAATAGAGACCCAAACCCTTAATTCATACCTTCTAATACCCTCAATTCCTTGAAAACCCTCTAATACCCTTCAAGACCCCCTTAACCCTCCCTAAGCCCTAAACCCTCAACCCTAAACCCTTAAGGCACTTTAGGGGTTTGAGGGAGTTCAGGGTCCGGGGGTTTAGGGTTCAGGCGCCGCCTGCTTGGCGTCCGCCGACGCGTTACCATCAGACTGGCCCTCCGTATAGTGCATCTGGCCACAGAGGACCCGGCAAAGGAGCCTGAAAGTGAAGACAACACGGGGGGTTTAGGGTTTAGGGTTTCGGGTTTAGGGCTTAGGGTTTAGGGTGTAGGGTTTAGGGTTTTATGGTTTAGGCTCAGATACCCCCCAAGACTATAATCATCTTTAGAAGGATTGGAGCACAGGCTTGAGCTGATTTCGGGAGGAGATGCATGCCGAAGAAACATGTACGCACCATTCCCTGCCACTCCAAAACATACGTACAAAGGAAACCCTAAAGAAAGCACCCCTATTTGCAGTATCGGATGTTGGCGCAGCAAAACTTGGAGAGGGGAAAGCTTTTGGACGTTGTCAAAGTGCTCCACCTACTGAAACATTCCAGGATGTTGCCCTATTTTTTCCCAACGAATAAAAATGCCAAGGCCTCAAAGCATCTTGTATCCAACTCAGCCCTGTCACGTTTTGGAAGCAGCCTCTGCACAATCACGACATCTCGAGATACGGCAAGTCTCTCTCGTGCAACATCTAATCTAACAAGTCTCAAAATTCCGGCGCTTCACGCGGTTCTGGCTGCTGCCAGTGCGCGCACAGGCGAGGCTACAGAACGGGGACGGGCTGGAAGCCCCTCCGAAGACAACGACTTGCGTTTCAGCTTGCGCTGCCTGCGGGCTTTGGTGCCTCCGCCTTCGCTCTTCTCTGCCATCACTCTCTCCGATGTCTCCTTGGTGCCTGCCCCATCCTCGGCATCGACGCCCGCAACCTTCTGCACGGCGGCCTGCGCCTCCTCCGCTACCTCCATCAGGGCACGGTTCACAGGATCGTCCAAGACGATCCCCAAGAGCTTGTGCCAAGTGTTGACCTTCTCATGCATGCGCAGGAGCTCCTCGTAGAAGAGCTCGCAGTGCGTGCACTCCTCCCGCCTCGGCGTGGCTTCCCGAAGGCTGGCCCACTTCCTTAGCTTTGGAGTAGACCCTGGAAAAAAAGCATCCACTTTTTAAGTATAAGTAGCTATAATCGGAACCCACAACCAAAAAAAAGTATTAAAGTATAGTACTCCAAAACCCAGCTTCGCCTCTGCAGCTCTGAGCTCTTCCTGACAACCCGCCTTTGCCGTTTGCACCTCGGCTTTGGCGCGCGCCACCCTCGGCTCGAAGATCTTCGACTTCTGCCGGCGACGCTTGGACCTGTGCGGGAAGCTGAGCCGCCTGGCGCTCCCGGCGCAGCTTCCTTCGCTTCGGCACCTTCTTGGCCCTCAGCTTCTTAGTCTTCTCGCCGCCGCCTCCTGCCGGGTCAACCTCATTCTGTGTCTTTTGCGCCTCTTTGGCCTGCAGCGCCCGGGCTGCCGCTGCCATCTGGGCATCCCAAACTCGGTCAGAGAGCACCTTCGGATCCACGTTGCTTGAGCGCACGGCCTCCTCGCTTTGCCGCTTGTCGTTGAGGAACTTCAGGGCCATGGCTTCGAGCACTTCCTGGTAATGAATTCCGACTAACAGTATCCGGTCGCGGGAAATTCCTATACAAAGTTCCTCCTCCCAGTTCAGCTACCACCGACCTCCTCCTCCACTAGTACTGCTACCTCCTCTTCGGCTACTCTTTCTTCAGCCTGCACACAACCCAAGTTGCCTCAAAGGATAACCAAATTCAAACAAGCCGCAGCCAGGCTTGCCTTCGCATGCCAAGAGGCACCATAGGCCGCACAAGCCTGACAACCTTGGCTGCACTCAGGAGGGTAGCTAAAAATTGAACTCTTAGCTGCCTCATTGAGAAACCCAATTAACCCAAAAAGGGTAAGGATCTAAAGTTACAGTAAAGTACCGCAAGGCAACGAACGTGGTCCTTCATGGCCCCAGCAATCCGCATCATCTTCCGCTCGTGCTTCTTCTTGTGCTTGCTCAAGAGCTGCCGAGCCGACACGAGCTCCTGGTTAAGGGTTTAGGGTTTAGGGTTCAGGGTTCAGGGTTCAGGGTTCCGGGTTCAGGGTTCCGGGTCAGTCCATGGAAAGCTTTTGTGCAGAAAGAAGCAGTGCAATCGTAGAAGTATTCGGCATTGCCTCTACACCCTGTAAACCGCACAAGCACTGGAAATCCTGTCTTGCCCCGCAAGCCCTCTGCAAACCCTAACCCTTCGAATTTTGGGGGGTTCGAGGGTGCCTTCTGCAACTCCATGAACTCCCTCGCCCTGTCGGCGTTGGGATCTGCTGCCCTTTCCGTTTCGGTGGTCTTGGTGGATGCTGTGGTGCTTCGAAACGCCCTGGACTTGACGCGCTTCACCATGCTTGCAGAGGCGGGGGCTTGGGGTGTCTAGCAGGAGCCAGAAACTGCGGCACAACAGGAAGGCAATGCAATGCACCTGGAGCGCATCGTGGCAGACCAGCTGTGGCACAGCCCTATGCCCATGTGCAAACTTTGCACTAGCACCATGTACGTATCTTACGCAAAGAGTACCCACCCAAACCTGCCAAAGGCTGCGCCACCTGCGAACTTCCTTATTCGGCTCACCTTCCTTCATGGTCATACCTTCTGTGTTCCTTTGCAATTGAAGCCTGTCCTAACCCTCCGGCAGCCTTGGAGAATTTGCTGGCAAGCCGCACAAACTGCGACCTGGTCCCACCATCCGAGCCCTTCTCTAAAGGAGCCTGGGCGATGGGCACTATGCAGGTCAACACCAATTGAGACTGCGCCTTTTGCGGTCGCGCGACGGCGCCACGCAGGGGATGAACATGGTCTGTGGCTGCAGCGAAGCAAACTTCAGCCATCGATCACACGGGTCCACGTGCAGCCAAGCCACGTAGCTCAGACTTTTCCCGATGTCTTCTGCAAAGTACAAGCCACTTCCAAAGCGAAAGCCGTGTTTGGCATCCTCCCCAGCATGAGCTCCGAGTGAATGCAGCAAAGCAAGAATCCATAGGGGAAAGCTCTGGTATGTGGGTATTTCCAAAATAGGGGTGCCCCTGCGTATTATACCCCAAATAGGAAAGAATCCCCTGAAAGGGACCCCCAAGAAATGCACCCACTTTTTGCGGAACCCTCCATATTGGTGGCAAGTGTCTTGTGGCCGCTACTGTAGGGTTCTAGTGGCACGAAATGGGCCCAGCTCCTTTGGAATGCGGAAGTCCGCGGAGACTATGGCTTCTGCTGATGCTCGAGACGTTCCATGCCAGAGCAAGTGCTCCTGCAAGCCGACGGTTTAGGGTTTAGGGGTTTAGGATTTAGGGTTTAGGGTTTACGGTTTAGGGAGGAATAAGACCCGAATCCCTAGCGTCCCAAATCCGTCGGGCAAACAGTGGCCTGAATGTTGTCGTCCAGGGTATCAATGGAGATCGTACCAGTCGCCTGCACTCCTGCATGGCATTTGGGATGCACGAATCCCTAAACAGCAGCCCTAAACCTGAAAACCTCAGTCCTGAACCCTAGAAAGTGCAGCGCCAAGAGAGGTCTGTGAACAAAACACAACCTCCGTCAAAGATGTGACCTGTGCTCTCTGGCTCCAAATGCTGTGGTTTTGGCTTCCTTTCTCGCATCGCAGTATCAACCGCTAAAACCCAAATTAAATCCGGTTACGTTGCCTGCAGTAGGGTGCTTTCGGTGCCGAAAACCACCAAAACTTGAGCTCTAGTGCTTCTTGTAGATGTTCGTCTCACGAATCAGTCGGTTTAGGGTTTGAGGCTCTTGTTGCGCAATCCTTATCGGTCCAGGCGACCCACTCAAGCCCCCAAATCGCCGCACGAACCTCGAAGCCTAAACCCTAAACCCGAAATCCTAAACCCTAAACCCTGAACCCTAAACCCTAAACCCTAAACCCTACACCATCAACCCTCAACCCTAAACGAGGTGTGGGCCTTTGCCGGTCAAGTTCTTCAGGTAGCTGTAGGTCAAGATCTCCTGGGAGAAGGGTCTATGGTCACGTCTCGAAAGATGTGGACCCTGTTGGGGGTTTAAGGGTTTCTTAGGGTTTAGGGCTTTAAGGAGGCCCCTCTCATGCAGGGTGCCCAGAAAGGGACCCTTAATGTAGAGAACTGACCATGTAGTCTATGTGACGTGTTTTCCTTTGACTGCACGGCGACATCTTCAAAGCTGTTTCCGGACCAACAATCCTAAACCCTAAGCCCTTACTCTAATGCCCACCAAGACTCCCCGCGGATCGCCTGCCGTCAGCACATCTCATCGGGCGTGGGGGGAGGGGGGGAGCGGGGGGAGGGGGGGGGGGGGGGGGGGGGGGGGGGGGGGGGGGGGGGGGGGGGGGGGGGAGGGGCTTAAGGCTAGGGCCCCAAGCAGAAGCCCTAACTTCGAGGCCACCTCCGAAAGTTAAGGGAGAACTCAGCCAAGGCAGGCGTTTTGAAGCTCTCACTCTCCGGCAAACGAAGCGCAAGCCCCCACCCTGAACCCTGAACCCACACCCTAAACCCCAAACCCTAAACCCTAAACCCCAAACCCTAAACCCTAAACCCCCAACCCCAAACCCTAAACCCCAAACCCTAAACCCTAAACCCCAAACCCCAAACCCTAAACCCTAAACCCCAAACCCACAGCGGCGCCTTGCCCTCCAAGAGCTCTGCAGAGGCAAAGGAAGCGAGGCCGGAGGCCTCCAACTCCTGGCGAAGCCTCCCGGGTTTAGGGTTTAGGGTTTAGGGTTTAGGTTGTAGGGTTTAGGGTTTAGGGTTTAGGGTTTAGGTTTTAGGGTTTAGGGTTTAGGGATTTAGGGTTTGGGGTTCAGGGTCTGGGGTTCAGGGTTCAGGGTTTAGGGTTTAGGGTGTAGGGGTTTCGGGTTTGGGGCTTGGGGCTTGGGGCTTGGGGCTTAGGGTTTGGGGTTTGGGGTTTAGGGGTTGGGGTTTGGGGTTTGGGGTTTGGGGTTTGTTCTTCTAGTGTCCTTGAGGGAGGGGCTTCAAGGGGGGTATGCAACCTAAGGTTCCCTAACACTCCCCACGACTCTCTACGGCTTTCCTAAGCTTCCCTAAGGTTCGGTACTCGGTACCTACCCCCTTAAAGGACCCTCTAATTCATGTTCCTTTTGCGGACCAAAGGAAGCCCAAACGGGTTTATGGTTTATATACCCTAATGGGGGAGAATAGTGGGCCATCAAAGCTTTAACATGCAAAGCACCGGGGGGGGGGGGGGGGGGGGGTGGTTTAGGGTTCGGGTTTAGGGTTTTGGGTTTGGTGTTTAGGTTTTAGGGTTTAGGGTTTAGGGTTTAGGGTTTAGGGTTTAGGGTTTAGGGTTTAGGGTTTAGGGTTTAGGGTTTAGGGTTAGGTTTAGGGTTTAGGGTTTAGGGTTTAGGGTTTAGGGTTTAGGGTTTAGGGTTTAGGGTTTAGGGTTTAGGGTTTAGGGTTTAGGGTTTAGGGTTTAGGGGGCGTATAGGGTTTAGGGTTTAGGGTTTAGGGTTTTGGGTTTAGGGTTTAAGGTTTAGGGTTTAGGGTTTAGGGTTTAGGGTTTAGGGTTTAGGGACACAGACTCGTATGTCGGGTTTGGAAAGGATCGCGGGCCATTTATCACGTAATGTTCTTCCAAGCAGGCTCGCGCAATTGAAAAAAGCTGGGGTGGAGTCCTTCCTTATGTTATCCTGCCTCTCTTCCTTTCGTCCCTTCTTCCTTCCCGCTTGCAAAATTCAAAAACCCTACGAAAAACAATAAACACTAACTACGATGTCCCTGTTGTTCTAACTTCAATTTCTGAAAAAGCGTCCCGCCTAGGCGGATCCTAAGCCCCAAACCGGGAACGCCATGAAGGGCTTAGGGTTCGAGGGCTTGGGGATTTCGAGGGCTTCGAGGGCGAAAGGTCAGAGCCTGCGCTTGAACTGCACATAGCGGTTCCACATGCTGGACATCTCGATGCGCCGAGCAGAGACCACCTGCCATTCGGGAGTTCCGCAGGCAGAACATGGGAGCTGGTTGCGAATCTCAATTGCTATGTTGGGTATTCTACGCTAAACCCTAAAGCCTAAACCCTAAACTCTAGACCCTAAACCCTAAACCCGAAACCCTAAACCCTAAACCCTAAACCCCCAGCTGTTGCATGGGTTTGGCCCGACTTACTCTCACTAGGGCGCACGGTACCTTTCTCGCTCGTTGTTCCTCTAAATCAAGGGGATTGGGGGTTCCTATGGCACGGAACCCATTTTTCGGGGTACCTAAGGCCCTGTAAACCCTAAGCTGGCCCCAAAACCCCGGCACTTTGGGCAGCTGAACACACGCCTTGATATAGCCACTGCCACCCGCTCCACCTGGCCGGGCAAAGGCAGATAGGGGGGTTTAGGGTTGGTTGACGGCTTCGGTCTTTTGCTGCTTTTGGAGGCTAAGGGTTTTGCATATTAAAGTTTAGGGTTTAGGGTGTTGGGCTTAGGGTTTAGGGTTTAGGGTTTAGGGTTTAGGGTTTAGGATTTGGGTTTAGGATTTAGGGTTTAGGGTTTAGGGTTAGGAATGTTTAGGGTTCAGGGTTCAGGGTTTAGGATTTAGGATTTAGGGCTTAGGATTTTCGGCAAGCTGGCCTGGGAAGCACGCCTGCGCCAGCTGCTGGAGAAGCATCCGGGAGGTTGCACGAACGGCGTACTGCGCCTCTCCGGGAGTCTCAACCCCAGACACACTGGGGGTTTGGGGTTTAGGGCTTCGGGTTTAGGGTTTAGGGTTTAGGGTTTAGGGTTTAGGGTTTAGGGTTTTTTTTTTAAGGGTTTAGGGTTTAGGGTTTAGGAACCTCACGAACCCCAGAATCCTGAAACCTTTGCAGCAGAATCCCGCGCCTCGAAGGCGTTGACGCCCGGGTTCACGTGGCAGTGCTGCCAGTACACGGGAAGCTCGGCGTGCAATGAGAGGCTCCCCAGCTCGAACTTGAAGGTCTCCAGGGCCACGGCCTGTTTGTTTTAGGGTTCAGGGCTTAGGGTTCAGGGTTTAGGGTTCAGGGTTCAGGGTTTAGGGTTTAGGGTTTGGGGTTTAGGGTTTAGGGTTTAGGGTTTGGGGTTTGGGGTTTGGGGTTTAGGGATCTTTTGGGGCTCGAAGTCGAACTTCAAGGGTTCGCGTTCTGGGTTTGCTAGGAGGTCCAGAAGCCCTGAACCCTAAACCCTAAACCCCAACTTTGCAAGGCAATTATGTAGGCTGGTGCACTCGGGGGCGCCGCGAGTAGAGGATGACGTACTCTGGATACACCTGCAGGTGGGGTGTAGGGTTTAGGGTTTATGGTTTGGGGGTTTGGGGTTTCGGGTTTAGGGTTTAAGGTTTAGGGTTTAGATTTGAAGCACAATAAGTCAGGGGGCTCAGGGTTTTGGTTGCCCTAAACAATGAGGAATACAAGCCTCTCGTTCTCACCAACCCCCGTACAGAAGGCCGGCTTTGAGCAAAGAAGCCGAGAGATGAACGCTGATACCTCTGCTTTTAGGGTAGGTACATGGTCCCCTAGTATGGGCCCTGAAAAAAAAAAGGAGCCCTTTTCTACCCCTATCTACCCTCTACAGACCAAATTGGACCATGGGTTTAGGGATTAGGGTATAGGGTTTAGGGTTTCAGGGTTAAGGGTTTAGGGTTTAGGGTTTAGGGTTTAGGTACCCTTAGATCTGACCCCTCTCAATGCGGGTCCTACGATGTCCTCTTCGCCAGTTCCATGGCCTGGTCGGCATGGTACACGACGAACTCTCTGAACGTGTTGGCCTTCTTGGTCCTCGAAGAACACATGGGGCTTTGCGATATTAGGAGTACCTTCTTGGGGTCCTTATTAAGGGTATCCTAAACCCTAAACCCTAAATCCTAAACCCTAAACCCTAGACCCTACATCCTACTATTTGAGGGGCTATCTTCGGGGTCCCTTCATATCGTAAACCCCCCCATATTAGGCTTGGAAGGAAAAGGAGGTTCGAGGCCACCGACCATGGCAAGCCTCAACACTTATCCCCTAGAAAGCCCTACTATATTCTCCATTAGAACCCCTACTGAAGCCTAGTCAAGTCAGAAAGGGGACCTGACTATCATCCCCTAGGAAGCCCCATTATGTTCTCCCCATAAGATTCTTACTAACCCTACTGAAACCTACGAAGTCAAAAAAAACAAACGGGCTTCCAAGTATGCCCCCTGAAGAAAACATGAAACCCCTAAAGTCGGCCTGTCACCCACCGTGCTGTCAAACTCCCCGGACCGCACCTTGTCGCCTTCCAGCGGCGCACTCGAAACCCCAAGCCATAAATTGCCGCTCGCAAGGCCTGCCTAGAAGACCTGGTTCTTAGTAGGGGATTCTTAGAATCCCTTAAAGAACCAGCCAGAAGTATTCGCACAACGCCTTCGAGCTGTCTGCGCGCCTGCCGCTTCGTAGCGATCCGTGGTATAGAGGAACTTCCCCATGCAGACGCGACAGAGCAGCAGGGCAAAGACGCCCTCGTAGTAGCCTGCAGGGCTGGGATGCATAAAGCCCGTGCTTGAGCCGTTAGGGGCTTACGGCAACAGGCTTTAGGGTTTAGGGTTTAGGGTTTAGGTGTTATCTTCCTATCCGAATCCTGCGAACCCTTGGAACTCTGCGAACCCTTTCCACGTGAACCTTATGAGCCCTAGTAACCCCGTGAACCCGGCAAACCCTGCGAACTCTGCCAACCATCTGAACCCTATGGACCCTACGAACCCTCTGAAACCCTGTAAACCCGAAACCCCAATGATTAGTTTAGGATGCCTGATGTATTCCTGTCCAAGCCCCGGGACAACTGAGGCAGGGGCCATGTGGCTCGTCCCGTGCGTACTCGTCAGCTTTGGTGCCTAAGGCTCGGGGCTCGAGGGATTTAAAGTTCAGCAATCTTGGAGGGCTGGGGCTTTGGGCTCAGGATGTCTCAGGCTTGCTTAGGGGCGTAGACTCTCCCCTCTTGCACGGATTTCCTTGCAGGCGGGATGCAGTTCTCCGCCAAGTAGCAGCCTTTGCCGTACATCGTGCCCGCATTCGAGCCGGCCATGTCAATGCGGAAGTCTTCGTGCGCGATGGACAGGGCTGCCCGAACGTGAGTGCCATGCCACAAGTAAAACTCGTTGAGGCCCTCATCCAGTGGCATGAAGGTTCCCGGCTGCTCCTTCACCAGTCCTCGCAAGAGCAAGAGGCAGCTTTCTTAAACTAGGGCCCCTTGTTGGGTACCCATTGTAAGGCGGCAGCCTGTCAAAAAAGGGGATCGCAGAAAGGGACCCCTGAGTCTAGAGAACTACCCTATGTGCAGAAAGCTGCTCCGCCGGTCCTGACGTACACACCTGCGGCTCTACCACCTCAATGGCGCCCCTGCTACGTCGAATCTGGTCCCGCTTCGTCATGAAGCGCTTCCACATCCTGAGGCTGCGAGAAGCTGCAAGAGAGTCCCACCCAGACCCCCTGGGAGGATCCAAAAAGTAGATTCCTTTCATGACTCCTAAGAAGGACCCCAAGAGTAGTAGAGGGGTACGATTTTGGGGGGTTCCACCTTTTTGGATCCTCCCAGTTGGCTGAGTAGTAGGTCTTCATCGTTGTTAGGCACATCATGGGCTACGAGGCTCTGGGACTCAGCGCTTCGCAGAACTCCGAAAGTTCCTACTTGTCTTGCCTCACGGCATTCTCACAGCAGCCCCGTGCACAACGACCCTAAACCCTAAACCCTAAACCCTAAACCCTAAACCCTAAACCCTAAACCCTACACCCTAGCCCGTTGCACCTCGAGTCCTCCACGCGGATGACGCGGCGCACCACGTAGCTTGCGGGGAGGCCTCTGCCGTTCCACCATGCTGACACAAACGTCCCCAAACCCCAAAGCCGAAAGAGCTTAGGGCTTGGGTTTGGGGTTTGGGGTTTAGGGTTTTGGGTTTAGGGTTTAGGGCTTTGGGTTTCGGGTTTAGGGTTTAGGGTTTAGGGTGAACCCAAACCCTGAATCCTACACTGCCGCCTGGGTCCCCATCTGGCTGGACGCAAGGGCAGCCGCCCGGGGTCTTGGAGCAGGATCCCTTTGGGCAAGGCCTGGTCGGGCAAGAACACGTGAAGCCCTAAAACCCTCCCCAAACCCTGTAACCCGAAACCCTAAACCCTAAACCCCAAACGCTAAGCCTTCTAACCTTAGACCCTACCTAAACCCCATTCAACAGGGCTGGAGGATGTTTTTTGAAAGGCAATTTGAATCAACAACTCCCAGCTCGGATCCCTAAAACTCTACCCTGAAAGAGTTTCCTCAACATTGTCCAACTCGGATCATCCCATGTAGGGCCCCTTCGGGTCCTTATAACCCTAAACCCTAAACCCCAAAACCCTAAACCCTAAACCCTAAACCCTAAACCACAAAGGCAAAAGAGCCGGGGGAGGATCCTGGGGCCTGTCTTGCGTACACCGCGCCCGGTAGGTGTGGTTCAAAAGCTCCGTAAATTGCTCCAGCTGGTCGTCGCTGCTGTAGAGCATGGCATTGAAGTCTGTGCTTTCCCTGGCGTGGCCTTGGGGGGGTCACTTGAGTCTGTCCTGGATGGCACCCTAAACCCTCAACCCTAAACCCTAAACCAAGACTCAGCCGGTTGCTAGGTGCTGCCAGGCAGCCCCAATATCTGGGTAGGGACTCCTCCACAGAGTGCGCTCGGCAACCAAGCCCTCTAAGCCCCGAACCCGAAACCCTTAACCCATAACCCTTAACCCTGAACCCTAAACCCTACACCCCAAACCCTACACCCTGAACCCTGAACCCTAAACCCTAAACCCTAAACCCTAAACCCTAAACCCTAAGCCCTAAGCCCTAAACCCTAACGACACAGAGGCGGCGTCTCCTTCGTGGCCGAGTCCATCGCCTGGCCCTCCTCGCTGGAGAGAGCGATGCTCTTGGCCCGGGTCAGGGCCTCAGGGCTTCATGGAAGGCCACCAATCAAACTAGGGTTTAGGGTTTAGGGTTTAGGGTTTAGGGTTTAGGGTTTAGGGTTTAGGGTTTTAGGGTTTTAGGGTTTAGGGTTTAGGGTTTAGGGTTTAGGGTTTAGGGTTTAGGGTTTAGGGTTTAGGGTTTAGGGTTTAGGGTTTAGGGTTTAGGGTTTAGGGTTTGGGGTTTAGGGTTTAGGGTTTAGGGTCGCAGAAAATTCAGGACCTAGGTGATTACTGTAAATTCCCTCGCCCTAAACCTCGGCCTAAACCTACACCGCGCGCCTAAACCCTGAACCCCCAAACCCCTAAATCCCAAACCCAGCACCTTGGCCGTCGCAGCAGGCACGCCAACAGTGTCAGCAGGAGGGCCACCCGCCGCCGGCGACACCTAAAAAACTCACAGGCTTCATGGGCTTTGGCGTCCCCTAACCCCTAAACCCCAAACCACAAACCCTAAACCCTAAACCCTAAACCCCCCTAAACCCTAAACCCTAAACCCTAAACCCTATGAAGGTTGAAGATTCAGGAATCTCCGAGGGGCCTGCAAACAAGGGACCCCAAAAGCCCAGAGTCTGCTGCACGTCTCAACTTAGTTTAGGGTTTAGGGTTTAGGGTTTAGGGTTTAGGGTTTAGGGTTTAGGGTTTAGGGTTTAGGGTTTAGGGTTTAGGGTTTAGGGTTTAGGGTTCAGGGTTTAGGGCTTAGGGTTTTGGGTTTTGATTTGGGCTTTGGCTTTTGGGCGTTGGGTTTTCGGTTTAGGGTACCCATACCTACCCAGGAGCCTTCAGGTAAACTGCCCCAAAACAGCCAAAAAAAACATAAAAATGCCAAAAAGAAAACAAAAGCAACCCTAACAAAACCTTTGAAAACCGTGAAAAAACACAAATAATACTAGAAAAACCCCTAAAACCTCCAAAAAAACATTGATGCCCTAAACATGAAACCCAAAATCCTTCAAGCTCCTCTCCCTAAACCCTTTAAACCCTAGCCCTAAACCCTAGAAACTAAACCCTAAACCCTAAACCCTGAACCCCTATAGCGGTCCACGGAACCGCCTTTGGCGGAATGAGTGGCCGTTGTGTTGCGGCACGCCGCCGCTTCCAGTAGCCTTAACGGCTCATAGGGTTTAGGGTTTAGGGTTTAGGGTTTAGGGTTTAGGGTTTAGGTTTAGGGTTTAGGGTTTAGGGTTTAGGGTTATGCTGTACACTATACATATAGGCTTCTTTTCGAAAAGAACAGTGTGCTGGTGACAAAGGCTCCCTGTAGACCTGAGCCAATGCCACAGATAAGTCTTGTTGCTTCAAACTGGCTGCCCACTCACTCGCGCTCCCCCTTGGTGACGCGTCACCAACTGTATGACGGAATGACGGGAGGCAAAAGGCAAAAGAGCATCGTCATTTGAAGTCTCTCGAAATGGTGAGAAGGCTTTCACTGCATCCAGCGGCGTGGGATACTTTTCCGGAATGGTTCATGTGTAGCCAGTGTAGCCTCTTGGAAGCAAAATGCTCCGTCAAAGATGGACTCTGCGTGCCCCACTCCGGCCTGGGGAGTGTCCCCGGCGTAGAGGAAGCCAAAATCCATGTATACTTATCTTGGACCTGTGGCAGTTCACATCAACCTCAAGCTCTGTGCGTCCATGCCATTGATGCTCACGACGAAGTCCTCGGGCGCCGCATTTCCCTCATAGTTGGCTGCAGCGTGGGGGCGAGCCAGCCTACCCTGAGGACGTAGGGCGGAACAGGTGGGAAGCCGAGCCGTAGGGGCCTCGCTTGAAAAAGGGCGTCTAGGCTGGGCGTCTACTAGAGCTCTTAGCATAGGCTCAGGCGGGTTCGCGTGTGCGATTGCTGGGCCTGGCGCAAACACGTGAACTTCATCATCAGCAAAGGCAAATGCGATAGGGTGGCCTTGAGGCTCTACATCATGCGCCTGCTGCGCTAGTTTCGGGGGCCTTCGCCTGGGGGCCTCATCAAGATCTGGGCCTTCATACTCATTCGGGCTGCTCAGGAATGAAAAGCTCTACAGTTTCTGGGGCTTGGCGTCTCGGCCTGAGGAGATCCTCGGCTTGACGAAACACTGCCCTCAAACAAGCCTTAAGTGCTTCCCAAACAGTAATGGACGTGATTGAGATTTGCAGCAAAACACAGAGCAAAAACGACCAGTCTTCACTGCTACGAACCCTGTCCTGGTCCTCAGCCGCAATAGCTAAGCAAAGACAGACTGTCAGTATCACTGTCCTGGGGCATTCATATGCATGCTGTACTTGAACAACCTTAGTCGCAGACACAGGCTGGTCCTTAGTGAGGGACAGGCACTTAGTGAGTACTGTTTGCTGCCACACTTCGAAGCATCGAAGAACTTGCCAGCTCGAGCGCCTGCTCCAGCGTGCCCTCTTGGACTGAGTCCTCATCAAGAATTTCCGGAAAGGATGTTTCGCACACGCAGACTACAACCGAACTCTCGCCACGCAAGCTCAAGGCACACAACTCACACTCTAGCTCTTCGCGCTTCACAAGCAACTCAGAAAGGATGGTGCCCTCGCAGGCATCCTTGTCACACGCGCTGACTGGCGCGTCTTCAAGGTTCTTTGGCCAAAAAACGTCGAAAAACAACTGCACATCGAGCTCAACAAAGTGAGCTTTACAACTCTCAAGCACCGCAGTACCGCCACACGGCTCGTTCAACGACAAGTCTGGCGCGGCACACAACACAAGCTCAAACAGCGCCTCCGCAAACGTTGCAACCGAGCACGCACTGTCAAGCTTCACAAGCAACTTGCTGCAAACAACACAGTCACGCTCACAGCAACTACGGGTACAAGCGACGGCCTGCTCTTGAGCAACAGAACTTACGTCTCGACTTTCAACAGTTTTTGGGTTCAGGATTATGCCACTTTTAGGGTTTTTGGGCTTTTGAGGAACTGCCACCGGGGTGGCTCCCCCCTCCTTTACAGCAGTGTCAAGTGTTGTGGCAACTTCGGCCAACAGCTTCACGCACACAAGGAAAACACGCAAGCAATGGCAACCAAGCAAGTCCAGCTCCTTATATAGGAGCGCACGCAAGCAACTCACAACAGGCATGTTTATGGTTTTGGGTTTTTCTGTTTTGCTTTTTGTTTTTTGTTTTCTGATTTGGGGTACCTCCCCCTTGCTGCTTAGCAGCAAATGCCAACAGAGCAACACAGCGGACATGCGCCACACACCTTTTCAGATCACAAAAGAAAGCCACGACACTGACCGTCAACCACAAGAAGCACACAAGCGGACAACAATCCGGCCGATTTGCCCTCGGCACGCAAAGGAGCGCAACGGACTGAGGATACAGACAAACCAGGGCGCACCAACACGAAAGTGCTAGCACCACCAACTTCAGTATAACGGCGCAGCGTCCACGATCATTGTTTCAACACACAGCGTCAACTTGCAAACCTTGTGAGGATGGTTTCGCTCAAACTCCTCAGCAATATCACTCAAGACGTCGCTCCCAGACGGCGACTCAAACATTTTGATGTTGCGTGGGCTCTCGGCCTGGGGACTTCCCCGGCTTGCTTCGAGAGCCTCGACCACATCTCCCAACAACTCTTCAGGTGTTTTTACTTTCGGGGCCGCCAAATCAGCCACGTCGCTGAAAAACCCTTCCGGCGGTTTTGGTTTTAGGTCCGCCCAAAGACCTCCTTCAACACTGCCCCCACCAACATCCAAGAGCTTTGACGCCTCCTGCGCACCTGACGTCCTGACAGGTTGGTGCGACCTTTCACGGCTTTCATTCCGATTCCCAGGCTCTTGGGTTTGGTTTGGGTTTCTAGTGGGAGCGACGGGCACAAAGGGTGACCTAGCCCTGGGGTTCAAAACCTCAGCCACGGACATGGCCTGTTTCTCTAGTTTCAATCCTTCGGGCGTGATTCGCCAGGCGTACTGTGACCCTTCGAGCTCGACCACACCCGCACACGGAGCCTGGGCCTCAGTTGGTCCCATTTGGCTCATTTCCCCACCAGGTCCCGTCCCAGTTTCCTCAAGGTTAGCTGGCTTGCCTGTCACAGCTGGTCTGCCAACGAACTGAGGAGGAAACACAGCCCTCGGACGTGGTTCAGGGATACGGGAGGTTGCACCTGCAGACGACGACGATGCCTTGGAGCTCGCCAGCTTCTCGATTCACTCTACCAAAGACTGCTGGTCTTGCATCAGTACGCGTAGCATTGGATCTGTAGCCTCAGGCTGTACTGGAACCAGTTCACGATCATCTTCCGCTTTGACAGCTCCGCATTCCATGGCCGAAAACTCGCTGTAGCCTGCAACACTATGATGTCCAGGCGATGCTTCTCTGGCAACTTGTGCCTCCGGTTCCTGTGGCTGTGTCGCCAGCGCAACAGGGTCAGTACGAAGTACTTCTGCAGGACACGAAGATGGTTCATGCATGGGGCACATTGTCCCTGGCTGTACTTGCTCCGGCCTCAGGAGTTTGCTGGGCTTGAGGTCCAAACTCATATGGCGGTTCACGTTCAGATTCATCGCCTTCTCTTGTAGCTGCACCTCTTTTTCCAGGGTCCTCCTGCACCATCTGTTGTGCACGACGAAATTCCTGCTGCACCGCATCTGACCAGAAAGGATTCGGGAAGTTTGCCATGGCAAGGTCTACTCTTCTACGGAGCCCTTTTACTTAGCGTTGGGCTCATAACCCTCGCGTGGGCAGGAAGCTCCACAGCGGGGTTACGCAGGGCTCTCTTTTTGCCACCAAGCAGCAACACAAAACAAGACAAGAAAGAAGGAAAGTTCTGATAGGAATCTGTGTCCTATGACTTCTGAATAAATGCTGTACACTATACATATTGGCTTCTTTTCGAAAAGAACAGTGTGCTGGTGACAAAGGCTCCCTGTAGACCTGAGCCAATGCCACAGATAAGTCTCGTTGCTTCAAACTGGCTGCCCACTCACTCGCGAGGGTTTAGGGTTGAGGGTTCAGGGTTTAGGCTTTAGGGCTTAGGGCTCAGGGCCCCTCGGGCCTAGGGCTTAGGGCCTAGGGCTTAGGGCTTCAGGCTTAGGGCTTCGGGCTTTAGGGCTCAGGGTTTAGTAAACCCTAGACGTACCCTAAACCAGTGGAGGAATCCTAACCCAGGGTTGAAAAAGTCGAGATTTCGAAAGCCTCGGATTGAAAGCTCAAGGCTCGAGGCTTCTTAGGGTAGCCACATGGTCCCTAAGCATGGGCCCTTAAAAGGGAGCCCCTTAGATACCCACAGCCCAAGGGCCCATACATCAGAACCCTCAAGTTAAGGGACCATAGTAAGGGACCATGACAGCACCCTAAGAAGGCTTGAAGACAGCCCGCATTCGGGCCTAGGCCTCAAGATGTCTGGCCAACGGGCGTAGGAGAGAGCGTAATTAGGTCAAGGACAAGGCGCACTATAAGGCACGATGTCTTTGCTACGAGTGTTGAGGGGCTGTAGTGTAAGGTATGCAAGCCAAAGCTTTGCTTTTGTGGCTCTGAACGATCAAGAGCAAGCCAGGTCTTTGCCAATGAAAGCCGATGACGTACACGATAAGCTGAAGGGCGAAGAGGTAAAACACCAGCCAAGACATTTGACCACCCACCTATAGATACAGGAACTACCGTCTTCTCCAATGCAGAGCCAAGCCGCAGTATGCTGTAATCAGACCTGGCAGCCGAGCATTTGTTTAGGGTTTAGGGTTTAGGGTTTAGGGTTTAGGGTTTAGGGTTTACGGTTTAGGGTTTAGGGTTTCGGGTTTAGGGTTTAGGGTTTAAGATTTAGGGTTTAGGGTTTAGGGTTTAGGGTTTAGGGTTTAGGGTTTAGGGTTTATGCGGCTTGGGCAAGGTCAGCTTCCGGCTCCTCTGCATGTCATGGCCAAGCATGGTGCAAAGCAGCGTTACGTCCTACGGAACAGCAACTCTTCGGGTTCTTACATGGTCCCTTCCTATGGGCCCTGAACAGGGGACCCCTTTTCTGTGCATTTACGAAAATAGGGCTACCATTTTTGGGGTCCCATATACCCCTTATATACAGCTCAGGGTTTAGGGTTTAGGGTTTATGGTTTAGGGTTTAGGGTTTAGGGTTTAGGGTTTGGGGTTTAGGGTGTAGGGTGTAGGGTTTAGGGTTTAGGGTTTAGGGTTTAGGGTTTAGGGTTTAGGGTTTAGGGTTTTATATACCCTATGAGCAACTGCAGACTCCGACCTAGGAAGACCAGCGCGCCCACCACAATGAGCACAATGCGCACCGCAAGCATGGGATCGCCCGCACTTCCATATCGTCCTGAGCAGTAGGTTTAGGGTTTAGGGTGTAGGGTTTAGGGTTTAGGGTTTAGGGTTTCGGGTTTCGGGTTTAGGGTTTCGGGTTTCGGGTTTAGGGTTTAGGGTTTAGGGTTTAGGGTTTAGGGTTTAGGGTTTAGGGTTTAGGGTTTAGGGTTTAGAGTTTAGGGTTCAGGGTTTAGGGTTTAGGGTTTAGGGTTTAGGGTTTAGGGTTTAGGGTTTAGGGTTTAGGGGCATACTTGGAAGCTCTTTTGACTTCGTATGCCTACTTGGTATCCCCTAGAAACCCTGTTATCATCCCCATAACCCACCTTACTGACCCTGCTTACGAAGTCAAAAGGGCTTCCAAGTGGGCTTACAAGTATGATGAGGGCTTCGGGCTTCTGTGGACGCCAGGATGTCAAGGCAGTGAATCTGCAGTTCAGGAAGGATTAGAACTCAGACGGCTAGCCCAAAACAGCAGAGCTGTGTCTCTAGAAGCGGCCCCCGAGAATACGGCGTCCAAGAGGCTCCATATTCTAGCTCCGCAGCCATCGGCCGTCTTTGCAGAGCACAGACTCACGGCCAGAAATTGGCAGCCTTGCGCCGCCCGGCAGGGTAAGAGGACATGTTCTGACACGTTGTGACTCTTTTGCATGCCCCGAGCCTTGGGCACCGTTGCATCCACCTGAGCAGGGCAGTGGACATCTAAAAAAAACCCAAGACCCGCAGCACCACCAAAAACATTCGTGTTACAAAAGCCCTCAACCCCCCAAAATCGCAGGCCTCCCGTTCCGTCTAAGCAGGGCTGGAAGCATGCAGCACACGTGGACTCTGCCGCGCAGTATTCCCAGCAGCTTTCGAAGGAGTCGTAGCGGGAAAGTATGGAGGGGCCGTCCTCCATGGCGTTGGAGCAGTAAGCGTCCGTGGTCTCCGAGTAGCTGCTGGAGATGAAGCCTGTAGGGTTTAGGGTTTAGGGTTTAGGGTTTAGGGTTTAGGGTTTAGGGTTTAGGGTTTAGGGTTTAGGGTTTAGGGTTTAGGGTTCAGGGTTTAGGGGTTAGGGAGGCTTATTTTTCTGTTCTTTTCGTGTGCACACTCCGGAAGCTGATCAAAAACAACTAACAATGTGCCTGGAGCAGCTGTGGCAGTGGTGGTGGTCGTGGCGGATGCCGCCGACGTCGAACTGGAGGAGCTTGCCACGCTTTCCGTGCTTGAGGTCGTTGTCGTGGTGGTGAGTTTCCGGTAGCAAGAACTGCCAAAGTGTCCAGACGCCTTGACAAGTATAGTTGCTTCCTCTGTCCCTCTCCTCTTCTTCTGGCAGGCACGACGGATGGGGTTGATGCGCACCCCCATGCTCCAAGGCGTGTTCCGATGTCGACCTACTAGCTATCTCTCGCTCGCTCTCTCTCTCTCTCTCTCTCTCTCTCTCTGTGTCTCTCTCTCTCTCTCTCTTCCTTCCTTCCTTCGCACTTTTAGCCCCCGCTCTCTCTCTCTCTCTCTCTCTCTGTTTAGTTGTGTCTTTTCTTCTTTCTTGCGTGGGCCTACGACAGCATTGCTTCTCGAGTCCGTTCCTACTGGCTGCCCATCCCATTTCTGAGCACCGGGCACACTCTCAACACTTATGGTTTAGGGACTAGGGCTTAGGTCTGAGCCTTTAGGGTTC